AACCCAAACCATTCTATGATTCTATGTGTCCCAGAGATACTTCTTATCAAAGGCTGAACATTTTTTTGATAATGTATCATTTTACTAAGCTGAAGATTTCTGTAATGATTCATCTTATTGTTGGTGAGTGGAGAGGGGAGAATACAGTGGTCATACAGCTCAAGGAAAGGAATGGCTCCCCTTTAGAGAGGCTGCAAAGAATCAGAGAAATTTTTTCCCTTAAATGGAAGTCACACAAGATATAAGCAGCCAGAAGGGTACTGTACTAAATGGGATTCCCAAGTAACTGCTAGAAGAAATTAAAGAACTCTCTTGTTTCTTAAAACAGTTAAATGTCTACAAATTCTGGTTTTCATTTTGCTTGCCTCAAGATAGAGAGTGCTAAAGCATACAAAACATTAGGTATGAAAGCATATTTTCAGTATATTCCTTCAAATAATGGATGAAGTTATAATTAACATTAGAGTTTCTCAGACTCCAAATAGGTACAAGGCTATAAGCAAAGAAGGGAAAGTTTGCTCATAATACTAAAACACCACTCAATTTACCTGAGCTCCTATTGCACTTGTTAGCTTGAAGATATACAAAACTATATCCAAGAAGGGCTGTAAAAGAAGCATAGAAAAAACCCACAACATTAGAACACCAACATGACACGAACATAAAAACGGTCCAGAAACCACCAATCACCCCAAGAACAGTTATAGCTCTGCAGTATAGCAACCACAATACTGGTCAACCTACTATACAAACTAAATGCTAAAACAAAAGGAATCTCAGCCACATGACATTTTCCTGAAAACATTCACTCAAGAATTGAACATAAAAGCATTATGATCTTCAGCTAATATACATACTGTATGAAAGAGTATTTCACTATTTTAGGTCTGTAATTACACTCTTGCTCACTAAGTAAAGGTGGACTAGACCCCATGATTACTTCTTAACTGAAGTACTCATGAGAAATACTGAGCAGAATAATGCTCAGTGCCTGATAGAAGCAATATTCCAATTTGCAAGCGTCCTGTTCCGCACACACTCTATCAAAGCTAGAGCAGCTGAACTGCAGGTTTTGTAGCAAGAAGTTTTTGAACACATCAACACATTTTGCTTTATACTTCTGCCTGTATAAACAATACAGCATCAAAAAAAATTAGCCTAGAAATTTTAACAGTACTGTACTTCATTACGTAAGTCCCCAGAAACAGCGAAATGGTTATTCAACGACACCTCCCTACCCAAAATAATATCTGTATTTAACTAAAAGCTGGCCATTGGTTTTAACCAGCTGAAATAGCTTACTCACTGTTCAACTGCAAATCAATATGGCAAGACAATTTAATACAAATAATCTACAATGTCACTTTAGCAGAGGTCATGGAAACCACAATGTGAAAACAATGTAATATCATAAACAATTATTTTTTTTTTGCAATACACAAAAACACAAGCAATTGTTTTGAGATCTAACACCACATCCTAAACATCCACAGCTACTATCTCAAAGATCTCTCTGAAAATACTTACCTTGCTAAGGTTTGAGTACAGGTCCACTACACTGTTACAGAATTTTTCCACATCCTGTGTAAGGAGTTGATCTGGATTAGCTATTCTGTTGTCCAGATTTCCCATTTTGTAGTATGTATAAGCTCTGAAACAAAACAATAATTAAGTGGCACAAAAAAATTCATTACCTGGGATCTCGGATCTCAAATAATTAGAACTCCCCTGTTTCATACAACTGAGATGGAAAGTAATGTGAAAATTAAATCATATTGAGGCAACACAGCTCATGCTTTTGCCTGACCAAATCCACATTAAATCCTCTAAAACTGTTTAGGCTCCAGGATGCCTTAGTTGAAGCTCAGGCCCATGCTGCTCTATGCACTGCTGCTGCACTTAGAATTAGAAAACCCTCACAAACTCTGCATCAGCACACCTGACAACCACAATTCAGTGCAGAAGGACATAAGCAGCTACTCAAGTTCATGCATCCAATTCAGTCTGCAGGATTATTAGCACCACATAAAAGCAACTGAGGTACTTTGGGAGCTGACCCAGTAATGGAAGCAGTACAGTGCATTATTTTTTTTCCCCCCAATTGAGTCAACTTTTCTGCCTTTTTGTCCATGCCATATACAACCTGGATAAGCCACTCATCCCTAAATGCAAGTTGATTGCAATCAAAAGCCTTTTCTAAACAGTTTACCTAACCCATTAAGCACCTTGCTATCTTCTTACAATGTACTTAAAGTGATTTGGTTTGATTTTAATCAATTTGGTTTTTAAAATCCATAGACATTAACACGGTCTTACTTACTTAAGATATTCCTCATAGAGGTATCTGGTAAGTCTTACTCGGAAGCAAAGTTTCAACTCATTTAGACCATACTTCAGGAAGTTATTCACTAAAGAAATCTAGAATAAGAGACAGTATTTCAATATTTAGCTAACAAGATTTGATTTACTTAGATCAATTTACAGCATAGATTGTGCAAACACCTTAGAAAGGGCGAATTCTCCCCTTGAAGTCAATAACACTATCAACACACCTAAGACCAACCATTTAGTGTCTGCAGGACCACTGATTAGGTTTCTATCCACATTTTTGAAAACTCCAGTTCCCAGTGGATCTCACCGCAAGATTTAATATAAAACTATGTTCATACAGCATATCTTCAGTTCTTCTGATAAGCTCTAGAAAAAGAGCCACCATTTGACAATCACCACCTTAAATTGATCAAATTGTTTTTAAATCTATTGTAAACCAGGTACAATACCTATTAGGTAGTAACAATTATTTCTATCTGGTGCGGATAAGAGATGTTGACAAGCTAAAGGAAAGTTGAAGGGAGGGAAAAAACTCATAACAAATCTCAGAGGCAGCTGTAAGAAATATAAAGACTAAAAAGAAATCATCTTCAATGGTGTCAAAAGAATCCCAAACCTACAATGTTGAAACATCATCCAGTCCATAAAATGTTATTATGCAGTACTACAGATGGCAAGTTAAGCTACCAGTCAAAATTGACACCAACAAAACCAACCTGAAAACCTAAATATATCTGTCAGAAAAAATTGCAATCAATAAGGAAACATGCTGATAAAGTCTCCCACGCAATGGAGCCAGAACGTGAAATGTGTCTTAATACAGACCTGCATGTGAAACAACTAATTTCCCTAAGTTTTAAGACACTCATTTGAGATCTTTTCCTCAAATTCTTAGTTTACATATAAAATATGTTCTACTAAAAGGCTGGCACAAGAAAAGCACTTACAGCAGGCATTGCGGCAATGAAGTTGAACAAGTATTTCTTGAAATCTTTTCTGCTGCGGCCAATGATAGCACTGTAAACAACCATCAGCTAAGAGTTAGTTACAAGAGAAACAAGAAAGTATAAACTAGCATGTCTTATGTGGACAAATTCTCAGTGGACCATACAGAGAAAAAAATCATCATGGAAACTTGTAGTATCAGCTGTAGGATCAAGTACGACTGACTTCAAAAGTTAAGTCATAAGTGACAGACTAAGCAATTATCTCTCTTCTGCTCTTGCAGGAGCTGCCTGCATTAAAGGCTCAGAAATTCATGGTCATACTAGTTCCCTTCCTTCTTTGCTTTCACAGATTCTCACAAGAGAAAAATAAAGCAGTCCTTCCATTCTACAAAGCACTGAAAGTCTCTCATGAAATACAGTATCATTCTGAATTCACACTTCAAGACAAATTTTGACTTGGTTCAATTAGCAACAAGAGCAACAAGAATAATCAGAGGTCTGGAAAACATTTTCTAAAATTATAAGACAGAAAGCACTGTATTCATCAATCTAAAGAGCAAACAGCTCAATAGGAAGAAGTAACAGTCTTAACATCCAAACAACACATCTGAGTCATGTCATAGAACCACTATGTCGCTGTTCGGAAGTGCCCTCTTGGACATTCAGATCAATGTAAGATTTAGAGTCTTCAGTGTACAAAATGTGACAAAACACTGAAAGTCATTAAATAAGTAAATTTTGGTTAAAAAAATAAAAAACTGTCCAACAGCAAAAAACCACTTGATTAAAAATTATTTTTCTTTCATAAAATATAGGGACCCCCCTCCAAAAATTGCAACTATACCAGTTTTTCAACTGTTTTATATAAATAAGCAAGCTATAAAATGTTCGACTATGTGTTCTAACAGACTACTTTCCCTGTTAAGCACAAGAAAGAATGCTTAAAAATAACAAGTTTATAGATACCTTTCAATGACTGTTCCATTTTGAATCATCCAAATATCACAATATGTACGAACTACTAGCATCACAGCAATAAGCAGCAAATAACCTGTCTAGTACAAAAATAGAAGTGCAACAGTTAAACAACGGATAAAGTTCACCACTTTTTTCTAAGAAGTGGTCCAACCACATCTACCAGAAAAGCATTACTCTGCTGTCCCCAGCTAATGTAATATTTGCTTACTTTGCAGGAAACACATTAGCATACAATATTTTTGATAAAACATTGATTACATTTTTATGGAGAAAGTTTGTCTTTTAAAAAGCTGCATTTGGTTGACACACATACTGGGCACATCCTATAAGATGGAGGATTGCAGGGACAAAGAAGTTACTGCTATTCTGAGGCACTTTTCTGCCATAAGCATAGGGTCATATAGATTGCAAGGGACCTCTGAAGGTCACCTTCTCCAACTCCCCACTCAAAACAGGGTCACTAATAACCAGTCAGACCTTGTACCATTGATCAAAAACCTTTAAGCACAACAGTCCAGCCAATTTTCCATTGGCTATTAGGGTACTAGGGGAGACCTTAGTCTCAAGGCCTCACTAAAATCGAAGTATTCAACAGCCTCTGTTCTTCCCTTATCCACATAGCCAGTCATCTTATCACTGAAAGCAATCAGGTTAGTAAGGCATGATCAGTCATTCACAAATCCAGGCTGGCTGTTTGCAATCACCTTTTTGTCCTTCACATGGCTGGAGTTAGCTTCCAGGAGGATTTGCTCACAGCTTTACGAGGAATATTGTGAGGCTGACCAGCGTGTAGCTTCCAGTATACTTGTTTTTGAAGATGGGAGTGATGTTTGGGTTTTGGAGGGGATTATCAGTAACCTCTTCTGTTAGCCATGACCTTTTGAAGTTGATGGAGGCCAGCTCTGTCAGTATTCTCAGAGGCATTCCCATCCATGTTTCTACCTTCCATGTACTTTCTTTTTGTGAATGAGCTGTCAAAGGTCCCCATTCATCCAGAGCTGGCTGCCATGCTTGTTCTACATTCTGTACGTTGAAATTCATTGCTCTTGTGCCTAATGTATGCTGAAGTTGTAATACATTGTAGTTCATCGCTTAAGTTCTGAGCCAACTAATGGTCTTTAAAAAAAACCCTTAAGTGTTCTAGAAAGCATGAGAAAAATGCTGAGGCAAGCAATTTTATCTTGCTAAATTCTAGTCTACATAGCTCTTCTGAAACGATGCTAACAGACTCCTTGACAAATTCACTTTCTAATAAGGGTTGGCCTAGATATAAGTTACAAAAGCAAAATTATGTATGAACAGCATGCAATTTAAAGATAGGAAGCATTTGCAGAGAGAATTTAGTACCTTGCAAACCCGGATGCCCTTTTAAAAGGCATCCTACAGACAGTAGTTATTAACTCTAACTGACAGTAAACAGCTGGTCTGGTAATTGAAACCCAAATGCAACTTTTTAGTGATCTAACAACTGAACATACAGGTAGATTTTTATATTAATATATGTTGCTATTTTCAAATATGTTTAGTTAGTCCTATTCAAGTAAGGTACATGCTTTTGTTTAAATTCTGATATAATTACGAAAGAAAACTTGACTCCAAAAAAGCTCATTTTTGTTACTGCAGGCAATGCTTACCTCTTTACAAAGTGTTCTAGGGACCATTATTTTCAGGATTCGACATATTCTTGCAATAAACACTCTGTCCACCATTGCTCGCTCCTTCTTTCCCTCCTTCTGCTTCACACAGAACAAGCAAAACAAGAAAAAGTGAGATTTTTTCATAATGTATTATTTAAATATTGATGCAGTATTTTCCCTATCCAAGATACTTAACAGCTACCTCCCTTCTGCAGCATCTGCAATAGTTCCCTCCAATTTAAGACTTGCTCACACAAGTTAAATGAAATGTAAGAATCAGGAGCACACATACTCACAGCTAACAGAAATCCTAAGTACGAGAACTAAGCTATCAAAACAAATTGCAATAGGAAGTAGCTGCCATGATAACATAGATTTGAAATAAGTATTTTGTAAGTGATATACAAACAACGCAGACCACAACATTAAAACATCCATTTACAATTTATAATGCAATCTGCCATCTTTCAACATTGCTTGTCTCTAGAAGACACCATCAACCAGTGTTTTTAAAGATGCCTTCCATCATTTGTCTACACCATTCAACTCCTTGACTGTACAGCTCAAAATTGCTTCAAGTGAAACCAAAATTTGTTATTCTTTTGCTTCTAAAAAAGAAGTGCAACACACTCCTAGTGAGCCAAATCTACCAGACTTAAAACCCCTCCTATACCCAAACACCTTTTATTTGGGTCAGTTGCATTTCTTTACTCCATATAATCTTCTGTCCTGACTAATGTGAATACTTCTTAACAAGCTAATGGTCCAGGTCCTTCCCTTGTTTTCTTTCTTTCCTTTCACAGTTGTGACATAAGGATTCATTCCCGAAAATGGACTAAAAGGGCGTACATGTGTACTTAAAACACGTCCTGTCTAATCAACCTAATCCTGATACCTTTACTACCCGACTCATGTGAAGCGTAAGTTATCAATGACTATAGTAATACTAACATACTCAGACAGGAAACCTGAAAGAAAAAAAATCTAGGGGGACAGAATGGGAAAGACAAAGAAAGTAGCTTGTGATCCACCATTAATCAACTCAGACAATCCTATCAAGCACTCTAATTTCCAAGAATTATTAAACTTCAGAAACTCACAGGAAGACCCCAGCTTAATCTCTTCACTATTTACCTATGCAACATGATGGGCAACAAGTGCAAGCTCTGAGCCCCAAACACAAATTTACTCTGAATGCTCTGTGAATAAGCCTACACCTGTTTTTTGTGGGATGAAGTGAACTATTGTCTTGTCCTTTAAAAAAAAACCACCACACCAAAAAAACATTATGTGAACACAAGCTATAGATAAAAATTCAAGATAGATAGGATGCTATATGGTAGATGATAAAAATATTTTAAATTAAAATTATTTACACAAAAATCCAAGCAATCCCTACAACTAACTACTGTCCAGGCCTAATGAAGCATGACCCTACACATATTATTGCTTTTCTGTAATAGAAGTGACAAACACAATGTCTGATGTATTAAATTTCTAGGAGTACCTGACTAAACACATTTGATGTCCAAGCTGAACTTCTTCCTCTCTATTCATCTCTTCCCCATTTCTACTTTTTTTGTTGCACTTACATTAATTCCAATACCTTCTTTCCTAAAGATTTTTTTTCTTAGACTTTTAATTCCTCATTCACTATAATTATATGCAAGATGGCTAGAAATAGGAGAAGGCTAGTTAAGATTTTTACAAATAGGTATAGCTATGTGAAATACAAGTGTTTATGGCAGATAATGCAGTCAAAGTCTGGGTAGAAGTGAACACGGTGCTTGTATACACCTTTATCCAGTCCAAGCTTTTTCTTAAGTTTTCAGCAAAGATGGAAGTACATGGAATAGTTACCTATTCATACCATCATATGATCCAATATTTCTAATCATGGGCTCTGCCCTTTGGGCTAATTGTTGGATTTTATTTGAATATGAAACAAAAAACTTGATTTAAAGGGATATAATATATCCTTTTGTGTGTCTGTTAGCTAATTTGAAAAGATCAGGGAAATGCCAAACCTCCTACCAGAAGTTTAAAGTACTTTTTAGAAAACATCAGACTCTATATCTTGTTCCATACTTTTTTTGTTTTAAATAAAAAGCAAATACAAGTCATACCAAGTCTACAAGCAGCTGTTTGTTGCTATGCATACAGCCAAACTTACAACACTAGTCCTTAAACATTCATTAGGCACAAAGAGATGATTCTTCCATTTGTTTCACCAGTGCAAGTCTGAAAGTATCATTCAAACCACATTTGCACAATAGCCATCATTCTGTCTGAAATAAAACTACAGTTACAGGACTTAAAGTTTAAAAAACTCCACAGTATTATTTAAAATTATTAAAAATATAGTACACAAAGAAAGAATTACCTCATTGTTCTGCAACACTTGTTTTCCACTTCTTTTACTGTAGAGGAAAAAAATATTTTCCTTATTAACACACATTTGTCTTTACACAGAAGAAACAAAAAGGAAAGCTTGGGATTGTATCTCTATCTTTCAAAGCAGTACTGTGTCTTCACAGCAGGGCTACCTTTTATGTCAAACGTGCTGTTTTTATACTATTTCAATGAAACTTTACTCCTTCCAGTATTCAGTTTCATGTA